TGTCGCCCCCCGCCGCCTGCTGCCGGGGCCCCGTCCCCGCGCTCGGCTGCCCGCCCCACGCCGGGCTCCGAGCCTCCGACCCCGCACGTTCCCTCGGAGCAGCCAGCCGAGAAGACCCGGTGCCGGCGAGCGAGGAGGGGAAGATGCGCGCCGGTGGCTTGGCGCTGTCCCTGTCCCTGGGGCTCCTGCTGACGGTCCTGAGCGAGGTGGCGGCGCAGGCGTGCCCGGCCCAGTGCTCCTGCTCCGGCAGCGCGGTGGACTGTCACGGGCTGGCGCTGCGCAGCGTCCCCAGGAGCATCCCCCGCAACACCGAGCGACTGTGAGTAGCGCCCTCGGCCCCGCGTCGCGCACCCTGCCCAGGGACTGGAGGGACGTGCCGGGCCGCCCTGAGCAGGGCTCGCGGCCTGGGGGTGGGCTCCCTGGGAGGGCGAGGCACCCCAGGGCACTGCCCGGGGAGGGGCCACCGCCGAAGGAGGGGCGGGCTGCGCTCCTGGTCGCTCTCGCTAGCTCTCTTGTCGCCCCTCGCAGGCAAGTTCTCTGGGCCAGGGGAGCAGAGAGATGGGACCCGGTAACCAGAACCCCAGGGTGCCCAGGGCAAGGGAGACGGGACTTTGTTCCCCACTCCTTAAACCGAGTCACCTTGCGGCTGCCAGCACTCACAGGCCGCTCTCAGGGCAGGGTCCCCGCTCGTCACCGCTGCAGCTGGCCTGGAGGGGGTGGCAGGAGATCTGAAAAGAGAAACTCCCGCTCCCGCTGCTTTGTGTTGCCCCCTGAGGACGAGAGGAGGGGAGGTGGAGTGCGGGCTCTTGGGGTGGCTCCCCTGGCCAGGGAGGGAAGGGTGCCCGGGGAGGGGACAGTCCCAGCTTGGCCGCGTGCAGTCCTCGCTCTCCAGGCGGCGGCCCCAAGGGACTTGTCTGAGCGGCGACTGCGGCGGGCCCGCGTCCCCACATCTACTAGAAGTTGGTGGGGGTCTCGGGCGGGATCCACCCGGGCCGGGTCTGGCTGCTCCGGCGCCTGGCG